GCTGCCGCTGCGTGCGGGCAGCGCGGCCACGGCCGGCCCTTGCCGGTCGTCCGGCAATATTCTCCGAACAACATGACTTAAAATAGCATGACATGAACATATAAACACATAATTGCTGAACACATGAAAATTCACATGAAGGCTAGAGCTATGGCCGCGGCGGGCGCCATGCACCGCCGACGGCGTTATGCCGTTCCTCGACCGAACCATATTATCTATCGGCAATTCAAACCAGACTGAAAATGCTTAGTAATTTACTGAGTATATCACATGAATATGCACGAGAATACTATCTTAACATATTAAGCATGCTAGTACGGCCCGTGGTGCGCTACGTGCGCAACCACGTCCCCTCGGCCGTAACATCAATTTATCTCAGCAATTTGCATATAAATGAACTTAACAAGATTTACTGAACATAATAACACATAACGGTCGAAGGTTATAACTTAAAATGCAATAGCACTCGGTGGCCCGTGGTGCGCACTACGTGTGCGACCACACCCCTCTCGGCCAATGTTCTAGTAACATGATTAATTTCCCGAACAATTAAGTTAAACTAAGCATGAAATTTCATATGAAAGCTAAACATGCGAGGATTACCTGGAGAATATAAATTATAACATGACATGAACATACGGTCACGGCTAAACGCACGGCTACGGCTATACACATAACACGCATGCATGAGCAAATAAATTCTAATCTTAATTAAAAATGATATTCTCGGGCAAAGCCGACGGAAACTTACCTCTTGTTAAGCCTTCGGACTAAGCTCTTCGAACCCCCGTGCGATGCCGTGCGATGGTGTGCGATGCGTGCGTGCTCTCGAGCTTCCGTGCGGGTGGCTTACGGCACGGCTTTGATGATTTGCTGAAAATTTCTAAGTGTTTGGGAAAACACTCTCGGCCTTTAAGAGTGAAAAGGAGCAAAATGCATAAATTTTCCAAGTCCTCCCTTAAAAACCGAATGCTTGGGCGGAGAAAATGAGGGGGACACTCGGTCAAGGCACACTACATGTGCACGGCAATGGGACAAAGGCTCCTCTCTCACGCGCAAAATACAACTGGCGCACGGACAATGATGCACGGCCTTGGATACTCCGCACAAAGCCAACAAAATGGGCACGGATAACTTGAGGAAAATGGGACAAAAGTGCACGGCAATCCTAGCATAAGGACAAGGAGGGCGCGCGGATTGCAAGGAAAGTGTTGGGCGCGGATTAACACGAGCCTCGGACACTCCGCCCACAAAGGCTTGCACGGCGCACATGGACACAAGAGGACAATGAGGCGCGGTCTTCCACAAGCTCTCGGATTCTCCGCACGGGCAATGCACACGAGTTCGGTCCGCAACACTCGCACACACTTACCACACGGCATGGCTAATGAACAAAATGTACTAACACTTGGACTTAAATGCACACGGCCAAGAACATGAACTCGGAATAAAATCCGAACAATTTGCTAATCTCGTGATTAAGTTAAATTAATCACTTAACTATGTTTAATTATCAATTAAACATAATGCTAAATTACCAAAATTATTTCGAGCGTAAACGGTACGTCGAAAATAGTTCTGGTAATTTCGACTGAAATAACTGAAATTAATTAACTCCGAAAAATAATATCGGAACTAAAAATATTATTATACTGATAAAAGTCGGGATATTACAAGGGGTGATTTCGAAGAAATTAAAGCGGAAGAACAAAGATTTCAGGGGACTTTTTGAGGAAGGAAGCAAAATCCACAGCAATTGACAACCAAACAAGAATGCCCAATACACAAATTCAACATACCCAGTCAGTAAGGTTCAAGATGCCCAATTTGAAAAAAAAAAAGAGAGAGAGAAAATTTCTCAAAACACAAAATCCCAGATACATGAAGTACAAAATCAGGGGAAAAACAACTTACTCATAATCGCGGAGGAGAGAATCGGGAAAGCTTGAAGATTGCAGGGAGAATCGTCGACGGAAGCTAGGATTTTTTGCAGAGAGGACTTTGAATGCAAAGGAATTTGGGGGAGAATGAAGGTGGAAAAAGTCCAAAATTTTACTAAGTGTCGGATTTATACTTGGGGAAGTTTAAGGGATGAGAAGATGAAGACCGTTAGATTAAAGCCCGATCGTACTGTAGGAGGCATTAATTTACACGGCAGTCAAGGCTGGCACGTTATGCGAAGGGGTGTCATTATTAAAGCACCTGACACATGCAGCCGATGCGACGCGTGGCAGAAAAGCGGGTGCGACAGAAAGGACTTGAAACAGACGACCTTATTTCTAGCGATAAAGGGAAAATTATTTGAAAATATGAGCTGGAAACTTATCAGCTGGTCGATATTTGACGACGAGCCATCCAGAAGGTCGATAGATACGAATTCACTCTTAGATCGAGTCATTCAGACTCGTCCAGAGTGGGAGGGACTAGATGATATGCGATATTATATATACTCAAGGATAAACCGGTCTACTCTACCGGTTGAGAAGATCAAACCAGGAGGAAGCCAAGACAAGAAGCGGAAGGATCGATCATGCAGATAGTCGACCAGGCAGGTGGTCGACCAGTCCATCGCATGACCAGACAAGTGATCGAGCAACCCATCGCTCGACCAGATACATGATCGGGCAACCTATTTGACCTCAACAGGTCGATCGCTTCGAGGAACCAACAGTCGGCCTAGTCATGGGTGCGTGTATCACGGGCGCGCGTAAGAGCCTCTAGCTGAATCTCAGGAGAATATTTACCCCATGTGCAGGGGGATACGTGTCGACAATGTATTGGGTGATAGCGATAACCACCTCTGACAGCTCCCAACACCCCGCGCCACCTCTGACATGTGCGCGGCGTGTCAGAGTACGGACGGGCAGCTTGGGCAGCCAGCTCATCCTTATCCGGGCAGCTATTAGGGCAGGTATCTCACCCCTATATAAAGGGGGTGAGCCTTTCTCCCTTAAGACATTATATTTTCCATACTTCACTTCAGTATACTCATACACATACTGACTGAAGCATCGGAGGCTCTTCACTGGACACAACCCCCAATGTGAGAGTTATTTGCAGGTTTCCGGCATTCTACCGGCGAGGACAAAAACCGATCTATCCCGAACCGGACCAGGACGCTTACGTTTGCATTATTAGCGCCGTCTGTGGGGATTCCTTGTTCAAAAAGTTGTGTTTGAAGCTCAGCTATGGCGGACAGATTTCCTAAAAACTTGCAGTCGACGTTCGACGAAGCTTGGACGACGACCAGGCCGTTTGGGCAAGGCCCTTCTCTGGGTTTTTCTGGCCCATCGCAGACTTCGATCACTCCCGCACCTATCCTTCAAGGTGTGGGAGTGACGACGGCGATTCCCGGAGGAGATGCCAGCTCCAGTCGGGCCCAGGAGGCTCGTGTAGCAGCGGCCGCGGCGATGCCACCACCACCACCACCACCAGATCCAACACAAGGGCAGGGAGGAGTGATGGCGCAAGGAGGAGTGCCACCACAGGCAGCCGTACAAGCCCCCGGCCAACAAATGGTGGCGATGACCCGAGAAGAGATGCAGAGGATAGCGGCGGCCGCGGCGGCGCAGGCGGTGCAGCAAGTCGCGAGTCATACATCTCATGCCACCACTGCACCGACCACGGTGGCCGGAAGCCAGGATGAGGATATGTCTAGTTATGGAGAAGGAGGAGCTGGAAGAGATCGGACAATGGAGAGGATGGCGGAGCAGTTGCGCCAGCTGCAAGACAAGGTGGAGGGGAGGCCAGAGAAGAGAGCTCGAGGACATCCCTTTTCAAGGGAGATTCTCGCTGCTACTTTGCCAAATAATTTCAAGAAGACCAACTTGGTGTATGATGGGTCTTCTGACCCATCGAGGCATGTGAGGACCTTTGAAAATATGGCTGTGTTGCATGGGTACTCTGATTCTGTTTGCTGCAGGGCATTTTTATCGACTCTGCGTGGAGGAGCACTCGATTGGTTTCATCAGCTTCCCCCTGGGTCGATCGCGAGCTTTGAGGACTTTATTGGCAAGCTTATCAATCAATATTCGAGCGCGGTGGTGCAGGAGAAAACGTATTTGACTTTGATGGCGATGAGGCAGGGGGAGAAGGAATCATTGAGGAAGTATGTTGCTCGATATAACCAAACATGTTTAGAGGTGCACTCGGCTTCGGACGAGGTGAAGGCGGGTGGATTGATAAGGAGTCTTCGAGCAGGGCCTTGTCGAACTTCCCTGGCAAAGACCCCTGCTCGATCATATGAGGATGTTCTGAAGCGGTGCATGAAGTATATTAACTTGGAGGAAATGGAGATGGAGTTAGCAAAGCTGGAGGGAGTGGCTCGACCAGAACCAAAAAAGGAGAAAAGTCTGCAACGGGGGAGATAGACGAGGAGAAATTCGCCCAAACGGAGTGGGCAGAAGAGGGTGTCACCCTGAAGAGAGAGTCGAGATTCGAAAAGGGAAAAGAGGGGTGAGTGGCAGAGGAGGCCGATGTTGTTCGAGAGGCAGAGATATCATACCTTTACACCCTTGAGGAAAGATATGACAGAGGTCCTCGAGGCCATGGAGCAGAAGATGCCGAGCGAGGATGTGACTTGGCCGAAGACGAGGTTTACAGGCCCAATTCGACCTAGGTCGGATATTTACTGTCGCTTTCACCGAGATTATGGTCACACCACGGAGAACTTTAGACATTTGAAACACGAGATCGAAAGGTTGATTCGAGCAGGATATTTGAAATAATTTGTGTATCATGATAGGGTGAAAGGGAAAGGGAGGAGAAGGTGTAGGGAAGACTCGGAGGAAAGGAGTGATAGAGATGATGAGGGAGATGGTCGAGACGGTCGAGGAAAGAAGCCAAGGAGAGATGGTGATAAGGGAGGGCATGGAGGAGAGGCCCCGATGAAGAGAGGGACGATTTACATAATTTCCGGTGGGCCAACGGATGGTGACTCAAATAGGTCCAGGAAGGAGCATGCTCGAGCAGTGAAGAGGAAGAGAGAGGAGGTGGGGATTACGGCCCGCATGTCGGTGATAAGTTTTAAGGCTGAGGATGCCGAGGGGGTGGTCCTGCCGCACAATGATGCTTTGGTGATAACCGCGGAGGTTGCAGGCTTCGATGTGAAGAAGGTGTTCATTGACACCGGGAGTTCGGTGGATGTGATGTTCTATGATTGTTTTGTGCATATTAACAAGGAGTTGAATGCGGAGTTGAAACGGTGACCACGGCACTCTATGGATTTAATGGAGAAGAGGTGATGCCGATGGGCGAGGTAAGTTTGCCGGTGGCGCTCGGAGTGGGAGAGTTGGGGAAGGTGCGCATGGTGAGGTTTGTGGTCGTAGGAGCTGAATCATCTTAAAACATCATTATGGGACGGACAAGCTTGAATGCGTTCCAGCCAGTCGTATCCACGTACCACATGACGATTAAATATCCAGTGGGCGAAAATGTAGGAGAGATTGCCGGGGACCAGCTCACTTCGAGGAGCTGCTACCAAACGACGGTGAGCAATAATAAGCAACTGGCGAAAAGGCAAGCCAAGTCAGAGGAGGAGGGGATTAATCGACCAGGTGGGTCGAGGTCGAAAGAAGATAAGCAGAGAATGGACAAGGGTAAGGAGAAGATGGATATTCAGCCAGGGGGAGAGGTGGAGGAGATTCAGATGATCGAGGGATGTGAGGAGAGGAAGTTTAAAATCGAGAAAGACTTGGAGGAGCCTATTCGGTCGAGGCTTATCGATCTAGTCAGGGAGTTTGCTGACATTTTTGCCTACACTGCGGAGGAGTTGACGGGGATAAGTGTGGAAGTGATCGAACACCGGCTGAACATCGACCTCAGTGTGAGGCCAGTGAAGCAAAAAAGAAGGCACCATGGGGCGGAGATGGACAAAATCATTGAGAAGGAGGTTGAGAAGCTATTGGGAGCGGGGCATATCAAGGAAATCCAGTTCCCCGAATGGTTGGCAAATACTGTGATGGTGTCGAAGTCGAAGGGGAAATGGAGGATGTGCATTGATTTCCGTGATCTGAACAAAGCGTGCCCAAAGGATCTATACCCGTTGCCCAGAATCGACCAGCTGGTCGACTCTACGGCAGGATGCGAGTTGCTGAGCCTGATGGATGCCTTCCAAGGATATCATCAAATTCCCTTGGCGGGGGAAGACAGGAAGCGGGTGAGTTTTGTAACAAATCGAGGGACCTATTGTTACGTGGTCATGCCGTTCGGTCTAAAGAATGTGGGTGCCACATAACAGAGTTTGGTCAATAAAATTTTCAAGGAGCAACTGGGAAGGAACATGGAGGTATATGTGGACGATATGTTGGTGAAAAGCGAGGAGTTGGATCATGTGCGAGACTTGAGAGAAATATTCCTAACATTGCGGAGGTACGGGATGAAGTTGAATCCAGCTAAGTGCTCTTTCGGGGTGAGATCGGGGAAGTTCTTGGGTTACTTGGTGACCAAGAGAGGTATTGAAGTGAATCCGGAGAAGGTTCGAGCTGTATTGGAGATGAAGTCACCGACGAATGTTAAAGAAGTGCAGATCTTAGCTGGTCGAATTGCAGGGCTGAGCCGTTTCATATCGAAGGTGGCGGAGAAGAGTGGGCCATTATTTAAAACATTGAAGAAGAGTGCAAAATTCCAATGGACGGAGGAGGCGCAGGGGGCCTTTGAGGAGCTGCGAGGGGTGTTAGCCAACCTTCCCCTATTGGCTAAACCTGTACAGGGCGAGGAGTTGGTGCTATACATTTCTATAGGAGATAGGGCGGTGAGCTCGGTATTGTTACGGGAGGAAGGAGTAGCGCAATTTTCTATATATTACGTGAGCAGGGTAATGCAAGGGGCGGAAATGAGGTATTCAGAGATCGAGAAGTGCGCTTTGGTTGTGGTCGTAACCGCTCGAAAGTTGAGACTCTATTCTTGAATCATAAGGTGAAGGTGCGAACAAACATGCCGCTGGGAGAAACACTGGGCCGACCATCGGTCTCCGGTCGATTGGTGAAATGGGCGGTCGAATTGAGTGAATATTCTTTATTGTATGAACCAAGGAGGGCCATAAAGGCGCAGGTGTTGGCCGATTTTATCCAGGAAGGCACGAAAGTCGAGGAGGAGTTAGAGGGAGTATGGCAGCTGTTTGTGGATGGATCAGCGGCGCGAGTGGGGTAGGTTTAGGAATCGTCCTTGTCTCCCCTAAGGGCGATTACCTGGAGTTTGCGGCCAAGGTAGGGTTCAAAATATCCAACAACGAAGCTGAGTATGAGGCAGTAATCAAAGGCCTGAGTTTAGCCAAGGCGGGGGGAGCTCGAAAAGTACAAGTGCATTCTGATTCTCAACTGGTGGTTGGGCAGTTTCAGGAGGGATTTGACGTCAAGGAGGACCGGATGCAAAAGTATGTAGATGAGATGAGGAAGTTGAAGGAGGAGTTCGATTCATTCGAGCTGATACAAATTCCTCGAGGAGAAAATGGTCGGGCGGACCTATTATCGAAAATCGCTCAGAGCTTGGTGGACTGCAAGAGCAGAAGTGTCACCTTATTGCATCTTGAAAGGAGCATGGTCGAAGCAGTAGTGGCGGAGATCGAAGAAGTGGAAGATTGGAGGGCCCCAATCTTGGAGGAGCTGAAAGAAGGAGCGATAAAAGTGGTGAGGAGGTTTTTTGAGCACGGAGGCATTCTTTACAAACGGTCGTATGGGGGACCCCATTTGCGGTGTGTTACTAAGGAAGAAGGTCGATACGTGCTGAGAGAGATGCACGAAGGATGCTGCGGGGACCATAGCAAGTCAGGGGCTTTGGTCGCAAGGATTTTAAGGGCGAGATATTTTTGGCCAACAATGAGGGAAGATGCGAAAGTGATGGTGAAGAAGTGCTTGCAATGCCAAAAACATGGCCCCCTTATCCACCAACCGGCAGAAGCAATGACAACGATGAGTGCCCCTATACCGTTCGCCCAGTGGGGTATCGACCTGGTGGGGCCGATGCCTCAGGGAACTGGGCAGAGGAAGTTCTTAATAGTGGCGGTCGATTATTCCACAAAATGGGTGGAAGCCAAACCTTTAGCGAAGATTACGGAGGAGAAAGTAATTAAATTTCTATACAATAACATCTGCTATCGGTTTGGCGTACCCAAATTGTTGATCTCCGACAACGGCACCCAATTCAATGGCAAGCGGATTTGCGCGTGGTGTGAAGACATGAAAATTGAGCAACACTTTGCCTCCGTTGCTCATCCGCAAGCCAATGGCCAGGTCGAAGTAACAAACCGAATTATACTGAATGGGTTGAAAACAAAGTTGGAAAAGGCCTCGGGAGCATGGGTCGATGAGTTGAGTTCTGTACTGTAGGCGTACCGCACAACCCCGAGGTCGACAACAGGAGAAACCCCGTTCAGTTTAGCTTATGGAATGGAAGCGTTGTTGTCGGTCGAGGTCGAGTTAGCATCCCAGAGGTCGAGCACATACAATGCTGAGCAGAATGAGGATCTGATGATGGCAGCCTTAGATACTATTAAGGAGCTGAGGCGGGAAAGTAGCAATCAGGAAGGAGGCGTACAAGCAAAGGATGCGAGCCGCTCACGACAAAAAGGTGAAAATTCGCAGACTCCAAGTAGGCGACCTGGTTTGGAAGCGTGTCGATGTGCTAAAGCATGTGGGAAAGCTAGAGCCGAATTGGGAAGGGCCATACCTGGTCGAGCGAGTGCACGCAGGAGGAGCGTACTCGCTGAAGGATGCTGAAGGCCGATCACTTGCCAGGTCATGGAACATAGCTAATTTGGAAAAATATTATGTGTGAAAATTTTTGTTTCTTTTAAAAGAAAGCTGGGAAATTCGAACGAAGATGTAAAGTGCAAAATTTGCTCAAAAGACAACGAAGTTCAATGATTCTTCTGATTTTATTCGCTTTATTGTACATTTTCTTATGCTTGGAATGTTGGTATTATTTGGATGAAAGGATGTGTGTCGTATGGTTTGACTTGGAACATTCCTTGGGGTGGGCAGGTTGGTCGAAGACCTCCTGTTTAGAACATTCCTTGGGGTGGGCAAGTGTGAAGACCAAAACCCACCATGATTAAGGCCCTCGGGCTTGGTGGTCGCTTGTTTAGAACATTCCTTGGGGTGGGCAGGTTGGTCGAAGACCTCCTGTTTAGAATATTTCTCGGGGT